CATCGTATGCTGGATAAGCTATCAAAATAATCATCACGCATGGCTGCGCATGTGAAATGATTTGTAGACAATTTCCATGCCTGTGTCAATCACTGTATATTCTATTTATAGGGGTACACAAATTATTACTTATTCAAAGATTAAAAAAATATATACTTCCCGTCCTTTTTAGGATGAAATTTTTCGTTATTTGAAGCCCTACTCTGGCTTTTGCCAGGGGCCGCAATATAGCCTGTCCATAAATATGGCCTAAAGGCTGAACGCTGTTCCTGGGACCTCTCCACTGTGATCCTCACCCACATGGTGGCACATTGTGTCATCGGGTGTTTATCGCTTGTGTGATGTCCTGGTGGGGTAGAAAGTCAGACAGTCAGTCAGGAAAATAGCATCTGTGCAATTGTAAATTATGAACTCGTAAGGGCAGGAGAATTTTAAGACCACTTGCAAAAATGCCGTTGATTCGTACCGGAGTTTTAGAGATATGTGTTAAATTGTGAGAGCACGACTTCTGAGACGTACTAAAAGGGGGTGGGGTGTGTCTCTGTGGCCAAACCGTTTGCCTCACTTCTATAGGTCGTGAATTCGTTTCACGGCGGCGCCATTCAGTTCACGCATGCACGATTTACGGAGATCCCTGAGGATCGTCACCGGAGCTACGGAGGCCATGCTGTGGGCTTTTTTCACTTTTACCTTTACCTGAAACGCACTATAGTAAGTGATGGACCATTTTCAGGCTACTAGCGCATCCAGCATATGATGCTTTCCTGACATGTTTATAGACCAATCGGTACCCGACCCACGATGTGGTCAACATTTCGACGACCGCCTTTCCTTCCCAGGAAGCTACTTGGTATCCAGTTAAAGCTGGGTAGACCTGGAAGCCAAGGGCATCCCCCCCCCTCCCCCTTTTTCACATATCCATCAGGTACAGAATCGAACGCACGTGCTAGTTAAGCTACGTTCTCTACCCTTATATTATCACTATCAGGTTCAAGGGTAGAGATCGTAGCTTTACTATCAGGTTCAAGGGTAGAGATCGTAGCTTTACTATCAGGTTTAAGGGTAGAGATCGTAGCTTCACTATCAGGTTCAAGGGTAGAGATCGTAGCTTCACTATCGGGTTCAAGGGTAGAGATCGTAGCTTTACTATCAGGTTCAAGGGTAGAGATCGTAGCTTTACTGTCAGGTTCAAGGGTAGAGATCGTAGCTTCACTATCAGGTTCAAGGGTAGAGATCGTAGCTTCACTATCAGGTTCAAGGGTAGAGATCGTAGCTTCACTATCAGGTTCAAGGGTAGAGATCGTAGCTTCACTATCAGGTTCAAGGGTAGAGGTCGTGGCTTCACTATCAGATTCAAGGGTAGAGATCGTAGCTTTACTGTCAGGTTCAAGGGTAGAGATCGTGGCTTCACTATCAGATTCAAGGGTAGAGATCGTGGCTTCACTATCAGATTCAAGGGTAGAGATCGTAGCTTTACTGTCAGGTTCAAGGGTAGAGATCGTGGCTTCACTATCAGATTCAAGGGTAGAGATCGTGGCTTCACTATCAGATTCAAGGGTAGAGATCGTAGCTTTACTATCAGGTTCAAGGGTAGAGATCGTAGCTTCACTATCAGGTTCAAGGGTAGAGATCGTAGCTTTACTATCAGGTTCAAGGGTAGAGATCGTAGCTTTACTGTCAGGTTCAAGGGTAGAGATCGTAACTTTACTATCAGGTTCAAGGGTAGAGATCGTAGCTTCACTATCGGGTTCAAGGGTAGAGATCGTAGCTTTACTATCAGGTTCAAGGGTAGAGATCGTAGCTTCACTATCAGGTTCAAGGGTAGAGATCGTAGCTTTGCTATCAGGTTCAAGGGTAGAGATCGTAGCTTCACTATCAGGTTCAAGGGTAGAGATCGTAGCGTTACTATCAGGTTCAAGGGTAGAGATCGTAGCTTCACTGTCAGGTTCAAGGGTAGAGATCGTAGCTTCACTATCAGGTTCAAGGGTAGAGATCGTAGCTTCACTATCAGGTTCAAGGGTAGAGATCGTAGCTTCACTATCAGATTCAAGGGTAGAGATCGTAGCTTCACTATCAGGTTCAAGGGTAGAGATCGTAGCTTTACTATCGGGTTCAAGGGTAGAGATCGTAGCTTCACTACCAGGTTCAAGGGTAGAGATCGTAGATTCACTATCGGGTTCAAGGGTAGAGATCGTAGCTTCACTACCAGGTTCAAGGGTAGAGATCGTAGATTCACTATCGGGTTCAAGGGTAGAGATCGTAGCTTCACTATCAGGTTCAAGGGTAGAGATCGTAGCTTCACTATCAGGTTCAAGGGTAGAGATCGTAGCTTTACTATCAGGTTCAAGGGTAGAGATCGTAGCTTTACTATCAGGTTCAAGGGTAGAGATCGTAGCTTCACTATCAGGTTCAAGGGTACAGATCGTAACTTCACTATCAGGTTCAAGGGTAGAGATCGTAGCTTCACTATCAGGTTCAAGGGTAGAGATCGTAGCTTTACTATCAGGTTCAAGGGTTGAGATCGTAGCTTTACTATCAGGTTCAAGGGTAGAGATCGTAGCTTCACTATCAGGTTCAAGGGTTGAGATCGTAGCTTTACTATCAGGTTCAAGGGTAGAGATCGTAGCTTCACTATCGGGTTCAAGGGTAGAGATCGTAGCTTCACTATCGGGTTCAAGGGTAGATATCGTAGCTTCACTATCAGGTTCAAGGGTAGAGATCGTAGCTTTACTATCAGGTTCAAGGGTAGAGATCGTAGCTTTACTATCAGGTTCAAGGGTAGAGATCGTAGCTTCACTATCAGGTTCAAGGGTACAGATCGTAACTTCACTATCAGGTTCAAGGGTAGAGATCGTAGCTTCACTATCAGGTTCAAGGGTAGAGATCGTAGCTTCACTATCAGGTTCAAGGGTACAGATCGTAGCTTCAATATTAGGTATAAGGTTGAGAACGTAGCTTCACTATCAGGTATAAGGTTGAGAACGTAGCTTCACTATCAGGTATAAGGTTGAGAACGTAGCTTCACTATCAGGTTCAATGGTACAGATCGTAGCTTCAATATTAGGTATAAGGTTGAGAACGTAGCTTCACTATCAGGTATAAGGTTGAGAACGTAGCTTCACTATCAGGTATAAGGTTGAGAACGTAGCTTCACTATCAGGTATAAGGTTGAGAACGTAGCTTCACTATCAGGTATAAGGTTGAGAACGTAGCTTCACTATCAGGTATAAGTGTTGAGAACGTAGCTTTACTATCAGGTATAAGGTTGAGAACGTAGCTTCACTATCAGGTATAAGGGCTGAGAACGTAGGTTCACTATCAGGTATCAATATCATCATCAAGTGCCTTGCCGACTGGCGTGGGCGATCATGCCTCTCCATAATCTGCGATCTCCTGCAGCATGTATCAGTTCGTGTGCCGACACACCTCCATGCCATGCAACAAGACTGTCAAGCAATTTCTCTCGTTGTCTTCCTCTATCTCTCCTTCCACATATCTTTCCAGTGGTCACAACATGTTTTATTTTCCCTCTTCTCATAACATGGCCGAAAAATGATGACTGTCTCCTTCTGATGTCTGTGATAAGTTGTCTTCGGGCTCCCACCTCTTTCAAAACCTCTTGGTTGCTCTTTTTGGCTGTCCAAGGTATTCTAAGCATTTTTCTGTAAACCACATCTCCGAGGTCTCCGGAAATTGTTTGGCCTACCTACCGATTGTCCAGGATTCACAGCCATGTGTTAAAACTGGATGTATGTAGTAAGCAAGTATTCTTTTTCTAACTCTCAATGACAAGGATATATTGCACAAGATGTTTTTCATTTTATAAAATGCAGTTTTTGCCTGTCCTATTCTGTTTCTTATTGCAGTTATGCATCTTCCATCTGATGTTATCCATGTGCCCAGATACTTAAATTTCTGTACTTAACCTAAAATAACACCATCAATTATCAGGTATAAGGGTTGAGAACGTAGCTTCACTATCAGGTATAAGGATATAGAACGTAGCCTAACTATCAAGTATAAGGGTTGATAATGCAGCGTTACAGTCAGGTAAAACCTGCATTTCAAAACATTCAACATGCAGTATATTATCATCATAAACTACTTCTTCCTTTAAGCGGAGTGGGGAGGAACTATTTGCGATCCAGTGCGCGCTGGCTGGAACTTACTATTGTCAAGTCGTGAAGGCATAAAGTGTTTTTAATGTCATCGATCCATTTTGTCGTGATCGTATTCTTGCTCTTGTAGCTGATCTTCTGAGATATAGTGCTTGTGATGGTATTTGATGTTGCTGCATTCTAACGAGATGACCAAACCACTTGATCTGCTGTTTCTCGATGAATCTAGTACAAGGTGTCGTTCCTACAGTTTGCCTTATAGTATCATTATTCACTCGATCTTGGATGGTTAGGTTGGCTGTTTTCTCTCAGGCATCTCATCTGGCAAGTGGTGATTTTGTGTACATGGGCTGTAGATAAAGTCCATGTTGGGCCTTTAGCTCTATAAATATGCTGCTAATAGTCTGTTTCTCTGCACTGATAATTATGTTTGCACATCCTAATAATGGTTACAATCGATTTATAAATGTTGCCTTTTGGACACCGGGTTTATATTTCTCTGTCAATTCTGCCATCGGACACATAATTATTATAGTGGTTTTGTTTTTAATTTTTTTTTAATGCGGATTATCAAGAAATGTATTTACTCAGTTACTGTGTTAAAAGCTTTATACCGACTTTAAACTATATTTACCGAGATAAGAGCTGTAAATGAACATCAATTTGCAGCAACGTGACTATTTACTCGTTCACTTAGATATCCGAGTGAAGCATACTATGTGTTCAACAGTTCATACACTATCAACCTTTACCAGACTGTATCCCGACTTACGAAATCAAACCAAGGAGGCAACAGACGATGAAGGCATTACCGCCGAAACCGTGGAGCTTTTTGAAACGGTTGTTAATTTCTGGGTGTTGTTTCTACTTGCCTTTTTTGGGATGATTGCAAACGCCATTGTTCTCACTGTATTCTTCCGCCAGGGGTTTAAAGATGGCGTGAATATATCGCTAACATCTATGGTCATGTGGGATTTACTCAAATGTGTGTGTATCATTATCAACAGAATGGAAAGACCGATAAGTTTAATATCCCCATCGTTCTCCGAATCCTGGTTCAGCGTTACAGTCATCTACACGGAGTTCTTCTTCATCATATCCTGTCACGTGACATACGTTCTGGCGTCCTATGTGTCGGTGGAAAGATGTCTCTACGTGAGCATTCCTTTCAAAGTCAGGTCAATCTTCACGCCCACCTTCACCCTGGAAGTCGTGTCAGTCATTTCTGGCCTGGTCTTTGGATCTCACTTGGTCGTACTATTTCTCTTTAGAGTTGTGTACGTGACCAGTTTAAAGTACAACGTGACCTTGACCGATACAACTTACACTGTTTTTTATGAGCTGCACGGAAAGACAGTGATGACTTTCTACAACACCTTAGGCACGACTCTGCCACTAGTTAGCTTCGTGGTGCTGTGTTTGGCATCTCTAATCACCATGTACCAACTCAAGCAGGCCTCTTCAAAAATAACACGCCATACTGGCAACCCCGTTAACGCAGCATCCAAAAATCACGAGGCTAAACATCCAACTTCACTACAAGTCAGGTCACACAACTACAGCAATGGAATGTCACAAAAGGAGAAGAAAGTCAACAAGATGTTACTGGTAGTTATGTTCGTTTACATCGCTATTCTATTCCCCCGCCTTCTTTACTACATGGCTTCTCTTATACAACCAGAGTACGGTTTGTTTAAGAAGTACCACACCCTTTTTACCATGTCCTCCAAGGTCTTGTTTGTGTTTGATGTTGTCAACGCCGCCACCAACATCTTTATATTCTTCAAAATGAGCTCCAATTTCCGAGCTGGCATGTCCCAGAATTTCAGCTGTGCCAGGTGTATGCACAGAGAGATCTAGAGATTTTCATTAAAACATCTTCAAATTAAACTCTAGCAAAAACAGTTCTCCGGTGGACAGCAGATGGGAAAAGAAGACGTGGACGACCTAAGGAAACATGGAGAAGGACAGTAGAACGGGAAATGAAGGAATGTAAACTGACGTGGGATACCATGGGCAGAAAAGCAGCAGGCCGGCAGCAATGGAGATCACTTGTGAATGCCTTATGTGTCAACAGTGATATGAAGAGGATATAGATCTTCAAATTCTGAGACTGCCAAATGCACATGGCTGTTGAATTACTTAGTTATTAGTCAATAAAATTAAAATCTTAACCAGGATATTGTGAATGTGTGAGTCCAGGTAACAACAGGATACCCGTCGGTATCGATCAATTCTTACTCTTCTACTGCTTTGTGTACTTCTTCTTCATCTTCTACTTTCCACACTCCTTGTTTTTATCTGCTTCCTCTAATTATTTTTTTGGGCCTGCTTCCTATTGTGTTTGCTCTACTTTTCATTCTGCGTTCTGTATTCATTTCTAGTTCAACTTCTGCCTCTTTAACTTCTGCTTTTACCTCTACCATTACTTTGAATTCTTTCTGTTTCCCCTATGTCCTCATCTTCTACTTCTTTGTTTTTCCCATTTCTTATTCTGCATACTCCCTCTACTGTTGACTTCTCAATTCTTAACACAACTCAGCAACTAACAAAGTACATTCTCTAACCCACCTCAGGCATCAATCAAACAACATTCTCTAACCCACCTCAGGCATCCATCAAACAACATTCTCTAACCCACCTCAGGCATCCATCAAACAACATTCTCTAACCCACCTCAGGCATCCATCAAACAACATTCTCTAACCCACCTCAGGCATCCATCAAACAAGATTCTCTAACCCACTATAACACCCAACAAACAGCATTCTCTAACCCACTATAACACCTGACAAACATTCTCTAACCCACTATAACACTCAACAAACATCATTTTCTAACCCACTAAAATACCCAACAAACAACATTCTCTAACCCATCTCAGGCATCCATCAAACAACATTCTCTAACCCACTATAACACCCAACAAACAGCATTCTCTAACCCACTATAACACTCAACAAACAACATTTTCTAACCCACTAAAATACAAAACAAACAAAATTCTCTAACCCACTAAAATACCCAACAAACAACATTCTCTAACCCACTATAACACCCAACAAACAACATTCTCTAACCCACTATAACACCTGACAAACATTCTCTAACCCACTATAACACTCAACAAACATCATTTTCTAACCCACTAAAATACCCAACAAACAAAATTCTCTAACCCACTCAAATACCCAACAAACAACATTCTCTAACCCACTAAAACACCCAACAAACAACATTCTCTAACCCACTAAAACACCCAACAAACAACATTCTCTAACCCACTTAAGTACCCAACAAACAACATTTTCTAACCCACTAAAATACCCAACAAACAACATTCTCTAACCCACTAAAACACCCAACAAACAACATTCTCTAACCCACTTAAGTACCCAACAAACAACATTCTCTAACCCACTAAAATATCCAACAAACAACATTCTCGAACCCACTAAAATACCCAACAAACAACATTCTCTAACCCACTAAAACACCCAACAAACAACATTCTCTAACCCACTTAAGTACCCAACAAACAACATTCTCTAACCCACGATAACACCCAACAAACAACATTCTCCAACATTTGTAAGATGTTATTTTATTGGTTTAATGATCAGAATCCAGCAAGGTGGGTGAGCAACATCATCGGACATACACAACACATCGACCCCATGCATCATTCATAAATAACGTATGATCTAGCCAGGAGCTGACACATATGAACTGTATGTACAAAATGTAGAAAGATGTATAGAAATCATCACCCAATAAATTTTTTCCTAAGAAAACAAAAACAAAACAAACAAAAAAGTAAATAAATTGGCTGAAACATTTATGTAAAGGGGTCTACTTATGATGATCAGAAACCTTTTGTTGTGTTTGCTTCATGGTGGAGTTTCTATTACATACTTTAATGTATTATTATTGATTACTCTACTCTCCAAAAATTGGTTGATATATTCCATTTCTGGGCACAGCTTATATTGCTTGCTCTCTGGATAGTTTGCAGTCCACTGAGGAAAAGATTCTTGTCTTCCCAGATAGTGGACTGCACAAAATAGCAGTCTATTACAAGGAACAGAACAATCTGAGAGAAATCACTTAAATATAACACAGCCTATGGTCGCCATTTTGCAAATGGAAGTCACATCATTCTGAGGTAAAGAATGAAGACAAACAAACGGGAGTCAGATCATTCTGAGGTAAAGAATGAAAACAGACAAAGGGGAGTCAGATCATTCTGAGGTAAAGAATTAAGACAGACAACTGGGAGTCACATCATTCTGAGGTAAAGAATGCAGACAGACAAACGGGAGTCAGATCATTCTGAGGTAAAGAATGAAGACAGAAAAACGGGAGTCATGTCCCAGAAGTGTTTCTTTTAAGAATCTGAAGAAGATAAAGAGACTGAAACATTCACAAAAGCAGGGCTTACTTCAGATGATCAGACACTTCCTGTTATGTCTGCTGTATGATGGAGTGTATACTACATACTTTAATGCATCATTCGGCATGGAAGATAATAAGTAGATTTATTCCCTTGCTTGCAGCGCAATCCTAAGAAGTGGATCGTAACTGGACAGATTACTGATGTAAGAGTAGATGTCACAGCACACCGGACATACCCACAGATGCTCTGTCCCCTGCAATAAATGTCTTACGGTGTAGATGATAATTGTTCCTTGCTGAATCTCTTTCTAATTCCATGTTTACACACTCTTACATGTTATTTTATCTAACCTTGTGTGTTCGATCAGCATTTGTTCATAAATGGTGCTTAGAGTATTTCCTTTGTCCGGTATGAATGTCCTTGTAGTTCTCACTCTGTAGCCAAAAGATACTCCCTTTAATTGCCTCACACTCCTGCATATGCTAGACAGTATATCCTCATGAGTCCCTGTAATGTTGGCATCATATCTATGGACAGACAGAAAGATGATAATATATGAGAGAGGTCACACACTAAAGACCTCCAACAGACATATACTCGGTATATGTGAGTCCTTGTAATGTTGGCATCCTATCAATGGACAAACAGAAAGAAAACTGATAATATATGAGAGAGGTCACACACTAAAGACCTCCAACAGACATATACTGATATCTCTCTGACAGATGCAAACAAAGCCTGGGGATATCCATCGAAGTAGCACAATGCACAAACCATGCAAGAGCATCCAGTTTCTAAAACAACTTAAACAGAAGTCGTCTGCGTGGACACACTACAACAAACACGCTTGGGAGAAGATCGGAAGACTTACAAATATACCCAATGTCCAAGGAAAATAATCCTGTATTGAACAATAACCAACAAAGAACAATGTATAATATATAACTGACACATGATTAAGCTACATTACCCATACAATTTCAACATATTATGTGTATATTGGTAAGCTTGTACACATATAAATAGATCATGAAATATATGTTTAAAAAAATACTGACATATCAGTTTTAGATTTAAAAATTCCCGAGCAGAATATTTAAAACAATTCAGATTTATATTTGTATCGATAGGTACTGTTACATAAGTTATTATTGTATTTCATTACATTATTATTATACTTATTAATGTAAAAAGACGTTGCTCAATCTAAATTCAGTGATCCATCATTTAAAAAATAAAATATCAGCAACTAATGCTTCCTGGCCATGTATGAAACAGTTCTTGAAAATCTCCAAGTACATTTCTAACAATACACAGGTACATACATAACTGTAGGTACTGTCAGAGATAATGGCAATCATTTATGTCCATAGACATTGCTCCATCTAACTTCACTGACCTGTCATTTTAAAAATCACAATATCAGTTAGCAACAGCTAACAGCAGGTTATCTATCAACAAGGAAAACAAAAAAAGAAGAGAAATTAGACTACACTGAAAGTCTTCTTCTTTCTACTGTTTTCCCCACCCCCACCAATCCCCCATTTCAAATGAAGTACCGGCCTTGAACCATATTGTGGATACAGTTTAAAATAGGAACAGGGTAGCCAACCCTCGACCTTGTTTCCTGACACCATCAGTAAAACAGGAACAGGGTAGCCAACCCTCCAACCCTTTACCTATTTACTTGACACCATCAATAAAACAACTGTGCAGGCTGCTGGAGAAGGCGATGGAACAGGCAGTGATAGTTTGCACTGTGAGTGCAGAGATATTCACTGTTAATGAATGAATAAACTTTTGCTTGGCCAGTTCTGCACTGAACTGACAGATTCTACTAGACAAAGGGAAATGTTGTGATACTGTCCAGTTAGAAGGCACTTGATGATGATAAAAAGTATATACGTTTAAAACTACACTGAAATGTAAAACACAAATGTCCCGTTCAAATATCTGCAGTAAGTTGAAAAGTAACTAACTTCCAATTTTAATATACTTTTATTGTTTCCTTTCTGTATTACATTATAAAATTCACATGTATATTGATAATATCATATACAAATTTCATACAGTAAATTATTTTATTCTGCATCATAATATTCTTATCATGATCAAATTTAATTACAAATGTTCATCTAATTCCTTTAAAGAAATAAAAATTAGTCTTGAATCTGAACATAGTCCAGCTTGTGGTTTGGTTTTCAACTAGTTCATTACCTGGCAAGTCAGCAGACATTTATTGATGACTCTATGCAGGATGTATGGTACCTAAGTTCTTCTGGTACATTCATTTGTGTGTGTGTGTGCGTGCGTGTGTCTACTACAGTGGCTACTTGTGCTTTCCATGTTTCTAGTATTTGTAATTCACTGAGACTCAAAGACTGCTGCTCTAAAGTACATACATTCTGTCAACACAAGGAGGTTGAGATCAAAACAAACATATCCTATTTGTGTGTGTACACAT